AAATGTCACATAATGCCTTGAAGTTGATGCACTCTAGATCTGTTCTTGATTATGAATATACTGAAATTAAAGTTTTAGAACCAGATCCAATAGTTAATTATGTTGAAATGTCTGTGACCCTTGAAAAAAGTTACATGTACAATGTATGTGCGATAGGTATATATACAATGTATTGTGAGTTGCTACTTGCAGTGAGCCATTGTGTTCAGTTGAACTAGGCATATTTAAAAATTTGCACTTTTTTGCAAGAACTGAGAAAAAGAAGCTAATTACATGTACATGCACAAAAGTTGTCCTTTTTGATCTTTGTGATGTGATAAAATACCCTACTAACTCTAAGAGCAGGCCCATACTGCATAATTAGCCAAAAAATCTTAAACTTTTAATATAACACAACAGCCTTCCATTTAGTAACCATGATTATCAACACAATGTACCTAGAAGATTCCAGCATATATTAGTTGAGATACGATAAGGCTATCAAGAGAGATAGTATCATAATGTCCATTTTTGGATGGTTTGACATAAGGCCACATGAGATAACAATCTATAATGAGTTGGAAATCTCCAGGGGAACTGGGTTAATTGGTCATTGTGTCCCAGAGAGAGCATGTAGTGCATATCAGTTGGACCTTTATCTCATGGTTCACAAAGTGTCCTTTAATATAGGGTAGCTCTAATGCCTTCTTGCAGTTTGCAAATGAAGTCTTATGCTAAGAGATTTGGTTTTGTGTGTTTTTCTTGAATGGTTGAAAGTTTCACAGTTTTGTTGTTGCAACATGTGACCAGATTTGTTGTTGAGACCTGCCTGTAATGATATATCACGGAGATATCTTGATGTGGCCATTGATGTACAAGAAATGTGCAAGAAATAATTGCCCTTTCTGCAATATTGTCTAACGTAAATGGTTTTGGAAGTATCTTCCACCCTTAATTTGCAATTTAGTTCTCAGAAAGTCGTCTTTTGATGTACACCAACTGATGACACTATCATTAAGAGTTGGCTCAAACTGTGTTCCTTTCTGCCAAGTACAAGTTCCCTTTTTCCTTCCTTCTGCTCAGATTGCATGGGCTGTAGGTTTCTCAGCAGCCTGTGTTCCTAATGTTGTATCTTCAACTTCTGAATCGACATACATGTATGCAAGTCTGATACATAAATTGCTTGCAAAAATTAGTTGCCAGTGGTTCGAGTTACAATCTTCCTACCGTAATATACAATGTACTTTGGTATGATGGTTATTGGTAAGCCTTTGATGAGTTGAAGAATGCAGTCCAGGTAAGTGAACTCCCTTTTTGATAACAAAGTACTTTTGTTGCAGAGTTTTTGTCAAACTTCCGAGTAATTCTGACCATTTGGACTGTCATTAACAGGCAGCCAAACTGGCTCCATCCTGTTTTCCATTCCGTATTACGTCTGTTATTTGCAAAAAACAGGCTACAAAGTCGTATAAGAAGGTTCTTTATTCAACACCCGGGGTTTTACACATCTTGTGTTTTGCTGACCATCTGTCACCTTTAGGTGCAATGACTTACATTTGTATTTTGGATTGTTGGATGTGGTTGTTCAATAAAGAATCTTATACCAGCTCTCACCAACCTGATGTAATCATTCACAGAGGCTATAACATTGTATCTACAATTAATTGTTTGTTTGAACTGGAATGGATGTTGCATTCTGTCAGAATATGATGCAATTAAGAGACTAGAACTTGGCCTCCCTGCTTTTTTTCACGACATTTTGTTGAAAGTTCTGGCTCTCATAAAGACATCCAATGCAATTTCAGTACTGCAAAACAAAAAATATATCTGTCTAATATTATGTTTACTGCCATTCATAATCAGCACATTTTTTGTCATCATTTGATACTTGAAACAAATAAAATAGCTTGAAAATAAGCCACGTAATGAGTCCCTTTTTGGTACCAATAATAAATATCTAGAACATGGGAACTGTTTTGTGTTAACAGTATCCAATGGGATAGGGTTGATTCAATTTACTACATTTTGTTCTTGACAAAAATGACCAGAAATTTGACTTTGAAAACACATTCAATTTATTACTGCCCAGAAATCTCGTTGGATGCCTTTAAAGCCAGGATTTCTGACAGAGATGCCCCGGTACTAGTATTGTTTTCCCCCTCTAACAGTCAGCACCACGTATGAGTTTGGACCGGCAGGAGGCCTCATCACCTATGAGTTCCCCAGCGAGGCGCGGCCCAACACCAGGATTGATATGCTGGCTGTTGGCTTCACCACCAGGGTCACCCAGGCCGTCCTGGTCCGCATCGACTCTGCAACATCAGACGACTTCATGGAGATCATGATTGTGAGTATTTACGTCTTAACCCTCAAAGTGTCAAGACCATTCAAATGAGATTGACCCAGTACTATGATTCAGGTGGCTTGGTGGTCCTATTCTTTTTTAGATATACAATCAGATGGAAATATTTAGTAATATTTTTAGATGTGTTTGTCAATGTCTATGTGTATGATTGTGTTTGTCAATATAGGCCATCAAGCCTGAAATAAACAATAAATAAACTACATGCACAGGGTTAAACTGACATCCTTGAACAACAACTGGTCAATATTTCAAAAATCGTCTCAGAAGTCCTGTCTCAAAGTGTTCTTTTTAGATACTTTTTTATCATCCTGACTAAATTACGCTCCTAGCCGCCTGCCCACCTGACAGTTGCCACCCCCAGGCAGTGAGAGCTAAGTGTATTAAAACCTAGGCTAAGTATTACAAGCAATGTGGTATGGGCTTGTGTATATATTAGACTCCACAAGAGATTCAAAATCCTGCAACTTTTGTTCAGCAGGAACCAGAAGTGTGTGCTCAACACGTTACCTTATCTAAAACGGGCACTTATCAAAGTTTGGGTAGATATCATAAATTTGAGTAACTGTTGTCTGTAAATGACAGTGTCAATCTGCCATGACTTTCCTCTGCAGTTTACTACTTTTACAATCATAACAGACAACAAGTAAATTGAGAATCACTTTAAAATTTATCATTGCAAAGTTTACAACTACAGTGTAATTAACCGCACCAAGGACGTTAACCTCCTTACAGCATCACATTCTGCTGCTTTAAAATACTGTTAGGATGATTCATAATGTTATGAATGAATTTCAGTCACTCTATTGTAGCTGGTGTTTCCATCTTGGTGGAATAATAATGCAGCACTAAATTGAATACAATAATGACACAGACTTCATTTTTGAAGGAACGGAATAAATCATGATCTGCATGAGGGACTTTGGTTGGTTCTCTCCGAAATCGGGCAAAATGAGAGGTAATTAACCTTTGCCCTGTGTGCCACCTGGCAGTGGGAAACCATTTTCATGCATGGTCTCATCCAATTTCCCTTTGCGTGAAATCTTGTCAAGCTGACAAATCACGCAGTGGCCGGCCTGAAGAGTTTTTGGTGTGAAATATATACTCACCGACAGTCGTTCACAAATACATCATGAAAAGGGCTATGAATATTAAAACCTGACAAAATAAAAGTAATTTAAAACTGTATTTGAATAACTATGTCAACATATGAAGGTATAGGTACATGTAGGATCTTCAGCCAAGTCTCAGACTGACATTTTGTTTTGAAACAACAATTGAACTGTGATAAGTGATTACCATTTTGATTAGTGTAACAGTATTGTTTACTTTATTACTGATCCAAGACAGAAGCACGTGTACAGAGAGTACAATATTGTAATGGCTTTGACTAGACCCTAAATCCTTAGTTTGTTCCTGTGCTTTTAGATGTTTTTGTTTATTTTGCTACAGTGCATTAATATTGGATACAGTCAGGCATTTTAATACGTTTTGGAAAATTTTGTATAACCGTTACGGTAATGATGAAATAATGTCTTCTTATGTGTCTGGGGTATTTAGTCAACCACTGCAGACTTTAAGATAAGAACACACATCAAGACTCCAGGGCTTGTAGCATTGTGTTCCTTGTGCCCTCTGGCAGATTTTATTAGAATTTCACCCAGGACATACATGTACATGAATTTGTACATTTATGACTTCTTCCAAATTATTTCACTCCAATTAGGTGGCGAATTGCCTTTGTGGGCAGAAACTATCAGCATTGGCCAACATCCAACTGTCCACATTCATTTTAGAATCACCCAAACTCTAGTTTCCTCCTAGAATGACAATCCCAAAGCTACTAACAGCTGAAGCACAAAGGAAAATTCTGCCTTGTCCCCCTGACAGCCTGGTTGGTCAAGGGACTATTAGGTAATAGTAGGTAGTGTCCTCCTACGTATATAGTAGTCATATTTTAAATTGCTTATGATACATTGCTGAAATAGCCAAATGTGTTCTCTCTCTTGGCAAGACCCACTCCGTGCATGTCCATACATGTAGTTAAAAATTAGTCATTGTGCAGTAAAGTTGCCAACTGAAAAGGACTTTATGGCTTTTGGCTTTTGATATATCTCAACATTCGTAGAAAATGCAGCGACCATTGTTAAATATACAAAAGTCATCACGAAGCAAATGCAGCTGATTCCACCACTCAGTTTCTGTGAAGAAAGTTGCTGCTGTTACAGTATTAGATCTGTAAACCAAAAATACTTCAGCTCTGCATGAATCGCTCAATGATGACTTATTTCACAATTAATTGGTGTAATACAGACTGTACCTAAATCTTACAAGCTTGAACAGTTTGTTACTTATGAATGGCTGTAACAAGATAGAAAAGGTAAATATTGTGACCTAGCGGGTCCACAATAGGCATAAAAGCATGAAATCCACATCTGTCTCATTTTTAAAAGCAGGGGAAGGTCTGTAAATAGTCTTAAATATAATAAATTATGATCTTATGAAGTATTAAACTGTAACAGGTACTGAGGGGCTCAGTCTAATGTGGAAATGAGTTCAAAATTTATGCCGTGAAATGTGGAAAGAATTTATTAAAACAGCTATCAACAAACTACTCATCATCTGAAAAACCATCGTAACATGGTTTCTGTTTGAACATTTTTGAATTGTTATATGTTCTCAGCATTTGTTGTTCACTGGTCAGCAAATCTAAAACAAAAAAATGGTGTTGGTTGAAATTTAATATAATAGACATGTTACCAAGAAAAAAATGTTACCAGTAACTAAGCTCTTCTAGCAAGCCAACGTCTCACCACATAACATCAAACAACACTTCATTGTCATTGTGCTGCACCCTATCTGATTCTGGTGGATTGCTTCTAGATCAGTACTGTAACACAATATTATATCGGACTACTGCATGTTTCTTATTTTTGCTCCTGGTGTAGGATTTAGATTTGTTAGTGTCTTTTTTTTTTGCATGTAACATTACATTTTGTATTTTGTATGTATTTTTAAACATGCTCAAATATGAATGTTTCATAAGATAGGGAAACCAATTGATAACATTCTCGACTGAAAAACACTAGTCGCACCAAAATACACCCCCTCCCATAGACACACAAATGCAACTTGTCTCTCAAAACATTGTATAAGAGACTGCCCTGATCATGATACACTGAGCACAGCTACAAATTTGAGTGGACACTTGATTTAACATTCCTTTTATGGTCTATGGTTTCCACCTTTTCCCTGGGGTCGGATCTAGGAGCTGACAGGAAATGTCGTGAGAAAGCCACAATCCCTCTGTTGTTTCCACGTCATCCCCAATCTACTCTCATAGTAAACAGAGACGTACACTGTTAACTCATTTTACACGGTAGTGAGCAGGTTTGTAAGGCTTCAGTACATGGACTAAAGTACATGGTATATGATGTCTAAATGATATATTTCTGTCATAATGCTAGTTTTCCAAAGATCTAACAACCTATCGTACTTTTTGATACTGTAATTCACTAAATGTTCATGCTATCAAAAGTTTGCGTTCTGAGAAAAATTCTTCCCGGAACTACTTATACATGTATGTTCGCAGAGGTGGCAGGTGCAGAAAAAAGAATGTTGAGGAATTACAATTGTTTTTGTCAATGGTAATGATAAGTTTGCGGTACAGAAGTGACCACAAAAATGCGAACTTAAAAGTACCGGGAAAAAAAGGGAATTACAGAATTGGATTGGATTGGTACATTGGATCGGAAGTGTTATTTCAGTGACACTTAGAAATACAAATCAAATGTATCTGATAAAGTTCACAAATAGGAACTTTTTGCAAGTTCTTTTGCCTGTAACAGTGTGCATATGTGTAGCACAAAATGTTCAGCACCAAGGAAAGATACCATTTGACCACACTCATGCATTAGGAACTAGACATTGGGTCATAATGGGCCAGACAAGCCCTTGTGTTAAAGCAATGCAAAGAGCACAGTTTTACATGTTTTACAATGTCCAAAATGACTTACATGTGACCGCTTAATATATAAGAAAACTTAATGTATAAGAAAACTTTTTGTAGTAACAAGGATGTATTTCAGAGAAACAAAAAAGATTTCAGTTTGTATGGATCTGGTCTTGTGACAACTGAACTCCACAGTTGGTTTTGATCCTTAAGTTTCCATATTTGATTTATCTTTTAGTAATATTTTACATACATCATCATTATCCTTGTTGCATTTGGTGCTTAGCACTGATTAGGGCTGTCAGTGTTGTCTTTGCTGCTGCCCTCCCATTCGCAACCTACTTACATTATAAAAAGATTCCATTCCTTGGTGCTCACTGCTGTCTTAAGTTTCCATTACCTTTCTCTCCTACAGGATGATGGGCTGCTTGTTGCCACGTACAACATGGGCACACAGGACCATCCCGTTTCTGAAAAATCTAAAAAAGTCAACGACGGAAGTTACCACATTGTACGGTTCTCACGTATCGGCGCTAACGCATCGCTACAGCTGGACAATCTAGCGCTCAATGAGAAGAAACCGACAGGTGAGTGGGCCACCCCAAGATCTGTCACTGACATCGTGTTTTGTTTTATTTTTGGTGACACCACAGGGGCATAGCCCTTTATCCTATTTTTATGGGCAGTCAGACAGTAGAGAGGGGCAGGTTTTAAGTTCCCGGATACAAATTGTATACACTCAGTCATTGTAAAAATCTGACTTTTTGAGGCGCATGTTCATTGTCATTTGTAAAAAGTATCAATATGAGAGCAAATTCAAATAGAACATTTTTAACAGTACATGTAAACAGTACTTATGAGTTATAACTTTAGTTATCATTTCAGGAAACATTATAATTGTAATAACTGTAACATAATTTCTCTGTAAGGTATATTTGTTTTAGGGGTGTGTTGCTTCTCAATTGACCTGCTTTCTTGTGCAATCACAACTGAAAGAAAATTCTTGCTGAAAGGAATCAGACATGGAGAACAGCTTGGGTCTGTGGTACTTGTTTTTTGATAGCTCAACATTGCTGCAGCAACTTTAAACGACCACTTTTGTCGCTCCAAACAGCTTTTCCTCTGTACCACTCAGCCAAGCTCTGATTCACAGTTTGATTCTTTGAACAAAACTTGGCTTTGTTATTTAGGTCTGTAGAGAAGTACATTCATGTACCAATCGGTATTGAACGCTAAGAAATTATAAAGCAGGTCATTGGTTGAAGTTTTATCAGTTACATGTATTATATTGTTTATGACGTGTTTGTCTTATTTATTTAACAGGGAAAGTTCTTTAATTGATCAACAAATGTAAATCATGATTGTCAATGTGGTCCAACCTTTGTGACTTTTTTGTCTCCTCTCTGCTACTGTTGGCTGTTTGGAACACACCATTGGTCTGGCCAAGAAAACAAATTGAATTATTTCACAGATGGGAAGGTTCTAAGGAATTGCACACTTAGCACAGTACCATTTTGTGTGTGCATGTTTTATGAAGCAAGTTTGAACTGTACTTTCCAACACAAGAAGTTGGACTTTATCAAATTTTTGACTGAACAACTCCAATCTTTGCCAAGAAATGAGCAATCCACCTCAATGTCACTCTATGCAGCTTACTCGTTGAGCAGTGGATCAAAGGTTGCAGGAAGTCTGTGGCAGCCCCCGTCTCTGTTAAGGGATGCCGTGATGTAAATTCCCTCTTAATGCAATGAAAAAAGTCATTGTGCATGTATCTTGTCAGAACATTCTACACTTTATAAGTCATTTTCACTAAATTTTATACTTAACATCATTCCCACCTGCGCAGGACATTGAAGTATGAATACAAAATATATCGTCCTTTTGTAGAATTGCAAAGTCTGTCGAACCAAGAGGAAATTTAAGAGAATAGCGAAAACAATATTGAAAGAAAAGCATGTTTTGGGTTTGTTAAGAGTACGACATATGTGTGCCTGAGGTTAGGTATCGATTCCTCGATGTGATAGATATTTCCTACAAATGTGTTCCTAACAGTTGTCAGCAGGGAAACCTCAGTAAACCCACCCTGATCAATACCAGGGCTGCCTGTAAGAGTGCCTTTAGCTCCCCTATATCATTACCGGAAAGCCCTAGGTGGTCAATTTCAAGGTAAAGTGATCGTTTACATTCTAATGCCGGCTATCTAAGCCAGTAATGGAATCACTAGCCATATTTTGCAGGCCATCATTGGTTTTTGATAGCCGGAGCAAGCTGACCAAGAAGTAACATTGCTTTCATGTGCTCCCCAGCTGTGCAAGTCATTTACCAAATTGTTGGCCAGCTTTCTAGCTGGAAAGGGGTATATCAATGCTAATTCCCTGGTAACAGTGGAATCAATACTTCCGGGGCAGGGAAGAGCTTTTAGAAATTAGCAGCCCCCAATTTCATCTATTATTAAGCCAACACAGCTTGAAGTTGTCTGCCTAGTACTTTTTTCCTACTCAGAGAAGGACACATGCTAGCGTACATGCAGTGAAACTTAAGGCTTTCCCATCTATTCTTGGCCAAAGACCCTTGGTAGCGTCCTAGCATCTTGTTTGTTTGTTTGTTTGTTCATCTTATTTGCATGTGGTTTGTTAGTCTACTATTCAGGTAGTTTACAAGCATGTTGAATGTGTCCCAGGTCTAAGTCTGTGTAACTCAGTGTATAACGTCAGGGACACCTACGTATACAGACTTCTGTTCCTGTGTCTACGTAATATACGTATGCATCTCACTGGTCTCACACAAACATCCCACCTTTCTTCTTGCATGCCTGACGGAGGACAATCTCAGTCCTCCACCATCTTTGCATGACACACAGAGAAAGACTCTTTATAACATCAGTCGAGAGACTTTTTGCATGCTAGACGTTTGCACAGCAACATTTTTCCAACTTAGAATTCTCCCTTCTCCCTCCTTTCTGACAAGATCACTTTGTAATGAAAAGAAAATCACTTTTTGTGACATTTCCTTCTTGATAACACATCTTTGATAAAATGGCAGTAAACCATACTGACTTTTTGTGCCTTGAATGAAGACTTGATAACAGGAATTTTTGAAGTTGAAGAATTTTTGCTCTTTTTCTTCACCTTTTTCTGCTGCCATCTTGGATGCCATTGTTGTGCATGAGCAGTTCCTAGCTACTTATCCTCTGAGGACAGGAGTACGTCAAGTAACCCATTTTTTGCATACATTTTCCTACCATCACCTACCCTTGTTGACACAGTGTATGCCATGTTTTTGTACACCAAACAGTAGTGCTATGTATTTTATAAAAAGGAATGAAACTTGCTGGATGTCGGGTAAGTGCATATACAGACTGAATGGACAGCTACTGTCACTTTGCCCTTTTTGTAAGGCATGACACCACACCTCGAATGAATGGTATCATTTATTCAAAGTAACTATCGAATTTTCTACTTCCTATAAGAGCAGATACACATGCCGATCATGTTTTACACTACTTCTGAAACAGCCTGTTCCTGTTTTCAAGAAAATAAAAATGTAGTGTTTGAAAATCTGAGTTCTAACAACATTTTCCCAAAACAGTACTTTGAATGCAAATTTTTTGGCAACACCCCAGGGGTGGAACTGTTTTGTGTTGTCACGTTTGTCACATATGTGGAGGTCTGTGTGTTTAAACTATGAGAACTGACTGGCCACTAGGAAGTAGTGGCAAACATGTGAGAGGCAACCTTTTCTTCAAAAGTGTGCATGAAATGTACCATTGCATGCTGATTTTAATGAGAGCTTGCCACATGGTGTACAGTATATGCAACAGCACTGTTCGTATATATGTACAGTGTAGCCTTTGAAAATATTGAAGGAACCGGTCAATGAAGTAATTTAATTTAAAAGTGCTAGTTAGCAGTGACACAACTCCTTGTTGTTTCCAGGACTGCAACATCAATATTTGGACACTATGTGGCAAGCAGATTATGTAAATCGGACTGTATTGAGTCATTTTAGTTAGTGGTAGTGGTTGACATTGCAAGTCCAATCTCAAAAATCATAATAACATTTTTTTTACATCTTTCTCCACCTTTCTTTACTCAAATTAGACTGGAACTGTTTTTTGTGTGCTTTGCCCTTCAAATTAATAGTTAAGTGGATTGAAAGGTTTATTTTATGGACAACTCAGTTGAAGAGAAGGAAGGCCAAACCACTTTTCTTTAGGGGTGGAAATGAGTTGAATGTTACCTGAAATTATCTGAAAATTTTGTTAGGACTGGTAAAAATATTAGACTTTCACTACCTATAAGTCAATAATGATTGTTGTCAAGAACTTCAAAAGACTCTGTTTTGCTGACCTGAGGCTCTTCTCAAGGACTTTTGCCTCAACAAATGCTGATATAAGGCTGCTTACTTTCATCAGTCTTTTACAGCATCTAACAGTATTTTGTTTTAATCTCTAAAAGATTTTTTTCTCTCTTTCTATCCTGCAAAATATTTGCATCGAATCAGAATACCAAGTATGATCATGTTGGTATTTCTTTTTCAGGTGCTGCTGCACTATTGATTAAGATGCATTGCCTATATTTTTGACAGACGGAATCCTTATAATCCTTGTAGGATGGATTATGAGGCTACACAACTGAAAATGGCTAAATGTCTTTCTTAATTCCAGGTCAACAGTTCGCAGTCAGCTTATTCCCTTTAATGTACTTTTCTGTCAGTTTTCCATCAACATTTTAGTACAGATTTTGAAATTTACTGTAAATCACTTTATATTGGCGATAACAAAATTTTGTGGTCTGAGAAAAATGGACATATTCATGGAACTATATGTTTGCGGTGACAGCAGGTCCAGAAGAAAGAAAGTCAGCGAATTATTTGTTCGTGGTAATGATAAATTCGCTGTACAGAAGTCACAGCAAAAACCGCAAATATAAAAGTACCGCGAAACAATTGTGATTTACAGTATGCGATTTTGTTGTCCTCTGTGTGCCACATTCCCACCTTCAACGTCCCAGTCTTGAATGCCAGTTTGTAGATTATGCTGTACAGGTTTGATGACTTGTTTTACAGATGAAGTTTGACAGAATGGGGCCGAGCAACTGAAAAATGAGCTGTATGATCTTTCCAGTGATCATGATAGACAACACCTCCAATTATTGAGTTCTTGCCTTCAATCAGTCTCGTTGAATCTACGAAAATGATTATTTTCTGAATCTTTGATACTGACAATTTCAACAGTTGCTGCTCAGGCCCGTTCAACTGAATTGTTTTTTTAATTCACGTATAGTCCTGTGCTACATATATTCAAGGATGTTGTCTTTTACATGTGTTTTGGATTATGGTCAGAAGTTTGCCATATTGGCCATATTGGAGTAATGCAATTCAAATATTACCTGTTTGACTGTTTCCCATAGACATCTAATTTCTACCTGCTCTAGGGGCAGTGCCTTTAAAGGATTTTATTTATGCAAACGTAGGAAGAAACAAAAAAAAGAGAGAGCATTCCAACTGGAAAGAAATGAGTGAAAGGAAACTGATGCAAGATGAAAGAAGATACTGTTGTGTGAAAGTGTTGTATTATGTCAATATATGGACATAAAACGATGTGCATTATGGACATTAAGATAGTTAATTTACACACCCAAAGACGATTGGTATCCTGTGATTCACTGTCAGTCAGAATTGTTATATGTCTTTATATGATAACATTTTAACGCCACATTAACAGGTAATTCAGTGAATCAATTCAGTGTCAGTTTTGACATCAGGGATTACGACTGGTCTGTTTTGATGTTTTGATTTTGCAGAGTAAGTTGCCTCGCACAAGTCGTGCATTTTTCATCTTTAACGACATTGGCTTACATGCTTCATCTTCATTTGATTGGACAAGTCTGCATTTCTTAATGTCTCGAAATAAATGTCAACTTACTCAGTTTCAATTTGTTGTATCCGTCATGTTAATCTGATATGGTGACTGTGTTCTAGTTGAGATGGGACTTGCAATGTATCTACACAACTGAAAGGAACTTGTTCCGCTTGCATTTTACTCTGTTTTAAACCAACTTTTTGAGACTCTAGGAACCTTGTGAGATTTCTATATTCCAAAAGCACTGCCAGATTCTTTCTCCCTGCTGCCTTACCCCATAACCAATACGTATTTCCTATTAAAAAGACAACTTCAGCAGGGAGAACGTCAAATGTTTTTGTACAGTTGTGTCCAAGTTCCTTTTTGAAACAGCTTTCATTAAATCCTAACACCAGGGCAGCTCCATTGCTGATCACCTATTTTCTCCAGCCAAATCCTGTGTACTGACTACGTCCTCTCTCCCCGCCGCTCTGCACAGGTAAACAACTCAGTGTCTTCAACAGCCAGGCCTACATTAGGCTTGGAGGACGCGGCAGCAGTAATGGGCGGTCCAGGCGAGCCGTCGACAAGCCCTACTTTGTCGGCATGCTGTCGGGTTTCTACTACAACGACATCAAGGTTCTGGACCTGGCACGTCAGAAGGACCCCCGGGTTCGAGTGGAGGGGGACGTGAAGGCCGTTAAACCCCCGTCCATGCCCACCCGTGTGCCCCCCCTCCCCGTACCTCCACAGCCTCGCAAACCTGTGCCCGTAAGTACTAGTAATCCTTGGCATGAAAGTTTAGCTGTGTTGGTACAAGTCATTATGACTCACTCACTCACTCAAACCTCCTCTGAACCTAGTGGTTCTTGCGGCGACAGCTAGGAAGGATTTCCATCTGGCCCTATCTGCAGCTGCGTCTGGGACTGTGTCCAGAGTCATTTCCTCTCTCTTTTAGGTCCCTCTGAATTGTTCTACTCCACGTCTCTTTTGGATGCCCTCTTTTTCTTTTTCCGGTTGGTTGCCATGTTAGGGCAGCTCTGGTCATTATGAAATAAAGACTAAACTTTATCTTCCAACACTGGAATGATTGTACCCACTGCTACGGTCATGTGTCTCTGACGTCACGTTCCAAGAGTAGATGGGTCCATTCTGTGAACAAGGTTGACAGAGTCAGCCAAAAATTCAAGGCTTCTTTTTTTGGGGTCATGTCCTGTGAAAGGTTGAATATATGTAAGATGGCATGACATTCTGGATAGGAAGGAAAAAATATGTAATAAATAATTTCAATGTAAAAAAAGTGTTACTGTAAGATTAAAGTGTTCAATTAAAGCTTATGTGGCCATAAACATTACATGTAAGTGTGCAAGGGTATAATGGTAAGACACAAGTGCACATGTACGAAACAAAAGGTTTTTCACGGTTTTCATTTGATGTTTAGTCAACGTTGCATCAGAATTTTGCCTGTTGCAGACAATATCTTTCTGACACAACATTGAAAACTATAGACGGGATGTCATCCTTATATATGTGAATACGATCTTAAACGAGACATTCTACCAATTTGAAAGTGCTATGCACATTACATGTATATTATACATTATGAGTTTTGCACAGGTGCTGTATATGTTCTGCTGACGCGTTGACTTACTCCCATCTTCATATTCTCCCTGCAGCCATCAGACGAGGATGACATCCTGGTGATGTCAGGGTCAGGCTGTCAGAGTGATGATGAAGACGACTGTGACCCATCACTGGGCTCAGGTCAGACCCACGGTTCTTGATTCATCTGTCGTTTAACTTGTTCCATCTTTCATTTAAACAGAACAAAAGCTCTTGCTGTTTACTCATCCTGCAACTCCAAGCATTCTTGGGTTACTCTTGCATGTGTCAAACAAATATTGAGACATCTTAGATCAATCTCAGCTTCTCGACATTTCTCGCCGTTCAAAAATTCTATGAGTCTCAGACCAAAACTGTATCATGACGTATACAAGAAATGTGTCCACACCATGAGTTAAACCCAGATCTTATCAGGTTGTCATCAGACTGGCTGATAGAAACATCTGACAGGTTTGTGTAAGATCAATGTTAGTGAAGTTATCATCTTGACTTAGAATCCAAAAACGAAGACTACAGACTGAGTAACGTGTACAGTTACTGTAATGCTTGCCACAACAGATTAGAAGTTATGTCCATCCTTACTTTCCAGAACACGTACTTTTAAGGTTTCGAATGTTGGTAACTGTGACTTTTATCACTGACGGCAAAGTTTGGCCCCAATCCAGAGCAGATTGTTCGCACACCTAGATTCGGCTCCCTGTGTCTGCTCCATGAGCCAAGCATGAAATTAAACCCACCATCAATGCTTGGGTTGCGCGGGTCAGCCAGATAAAATGAAGTGCTATGGCAATGAGTCTTCCAGTGATAATTTGTTGGCAGGCAGATGGATTTTCCATGGGGTGTGATTGACACAGTTGGGCCTATTATTTCTGCCCTGTTAAACCCAATCCTGGTTGTCCCAGTTACATTGCCTGTGTCTGAAATAACAGTGCTTAGCCTCCTTCGCAGTCACTTCTAGCAGCAATGGCATTTTTTTTCGGGGAGAGTGCTGATACGCGAATTCTCTGGTGTGGCAGAGGAAGTAACACTTCTTGTGTACTAGGCAAAATACAACTCTCTCCGTAAACAGGACCATCCCCTGAAAAGAAACTGCTGCTCATGCCTCTTGTAGAAACAAAGACTGTACCACTAAAAGTCTGTGCAGGGGGCTAACGATACAATAAAAGGTCTCTACTCTTAACAGCACCTTTAAAGTTTAGCAAGCCCCTAGCCTGTCACACATTCACAAAGTCACCGAGCCAAATGCCCCCCGACCATGGTTAGGAGTTACGTCAGTGCAAAGCCAGCTGGTGGTTGTTGAATTTGGCTACTACTAGTATTTAGCTGCACCAGCCGAATGTTTCAGAATTTTAAAAACATTTGGGGGTTGGTTGGGAGGTTGGAACATGGTTGGCTGTAAGTCAGCAGAACACTAGGCTAAGCCAATTATTTGGGAGTAAGTTAGCAGTGTCTGGGACATGTTCGGGGGTCAAATTTGACTCGTATTTCACTCAAATTTGTTTTGCTTCATACAGAAGGGTAGGCGTGTTGGTAGGCGTGAGTGCTCCCAAATGTCAGCTAATACTGGTCGACTGGTGTTTGGGAACAAATTTGGGGGATCAAGGTGTAGTGAATGTGTGATGGGCTTAAAAATTATGCTTCCAAAAGAACTAATTTCTTGCATTTCAATGGTAAAACATATCTTTGTCAAAATCACATTAAGTAATATCTTATAGCCAAAAATTTTCACTGAGAACATGATGCAGTTAGAGTCCTGATCCAATCAAATCATAGACGGATAGCATGGTAATTCAAATGGCACTCAAACACGAAATTCAAAATACGGGCTCTGCATGTGCTGTTTTTAATTGGTAATTCTACTAAACTGTAACTGAATGTGTCCCAAATGAGGTCATTAGCACAGATCATTGATTATACGTGATTTGCTGGAAAAGATGTTAAATGATGGGAACTCCAATAATTGGTAACCGCCAGGTGTGTGATGGGTTTAGATGAACGACAGGAGGTGCAGGATTTGGCACATCAATGATGTCTTCTGTTAGTATTAAAATTGGAATCCTTCAGAATCCTCTTTATCATGTCATTGTGACCTTGAGCATGCCACTTGGCAGGTGGGGGGGGGGGGTAAAGATAGTCCTGTGTCTGACAGGGAAGGCTGTGTTCCTAAAATAATAAGTAATGTCTAGTACATTGTCATAATTATTACATTTACACTTCCTTGGCATTTTGTATCGTGTGGGAGTGGGAGTGGATTCAATATTTGTTTTGGGTGCAGAATTCTAGCATTACGATAAGTGCACTTAGACTATATTTCACAATTTAATGTACTTGCCACTGTTTTTACTGAAATTGAGTATTATATTACATGTATATGTATATTTATTCTGTTTTTTCTCACATTGATGCTTGCTTACATGACACAGTGGGAGGGAAAGGTAATGTTGAATGGTGTATTTAGGATATATTGAGATATTGAATGACGTTAAGAAGCAGTACGAAGATCTGAAATAGTCAAACATCATAAAATGTAATATATGATTAAAAAAACATTTTCCAACAGTGCACGGAACATATTATCAATGTTACATGACGTATGATCAGACTTTATAACAATTGCTTGCTTTGTTGGTCCTTTTTTGCATTCTCATTGTTCCTGTGACATTTTGTTACATGTAATACTAGTATACAAGCATTGCTGTACATATTTTAAACATGTCTAACCCAGACCTAATACCACTACCAGCACAACAAAACATTTAAACATGTCTAAACCCAATATTACACCACTACCAGCACAACAAAACATTTAAACATGTCTAACTGTGACATTACACCACTCCAGGAGAAGACGGGATCATCACCCCCATCATTAACGGCCAGCCCACAGTGAAACCCCCCAAACCGCCAAAGAGCCTGCCGATTGACCCGACGCCCTCGGACGTTCCCGACAGCTGCGACGATGAGGATGATCCGGACTGCGACGACGGCTCGGGCTCCGGCGACGGCTCCGGCACCACCACGGCGAGCACGGACGCCGGAGTCAGGTTCTCCGTTACCACGACGACGGGCGGAGGCAAGCAGACGGCGCCTCCCACGCTTCAGCCGTCGCCCCCGCTCCAGCCGGGCCTGACTCCGAACACGGTCCCGAGAGGCAACGGCCAGATCCCGCCGACATCCAACGTCATCCCGCCGCTGTTTAACAAACCGCCCAACGGTAAACCCTCGAACATCATCACGCTGGACCCCGGGAACGGGAAGAACCCCGTCCAGAACCCCGTGCAGGAGCAGCAAGTGGCGGACACGGCGAGCACGACAGGAATGGTGGTGGGCATCGTGGTCGCCGCAGCCATAGCCCTCCTCATTCTCCTCTATGCAATGTACAAGTATAGGAATAGAGACGAAGGCTCCTACCGGATAGATGAAAGTCGAAACTATAACTTCCACACCAGTGGATTACCAGCACAACAAAACGGCTCAGTCCCGAAAGAGAAACCACATAAACCAGTAAAAAAGAAAGATTCGAAAGAGTGGTACGTATGAGGTGCCAATGTAAAGATCTCCCCCCCTCCCTGTCAACTCATAGGTCCCTTACTGTATCAGTTGTTGCAGTAGACCAGGAGTGAAAGGATCACACTATAGAATACAGAATATTGAAACAACAGAAAATGCATTGTTTGTCTTGCCAGAATGGAGAGAGGGGGCCGTTAGCTCATAGGAAAAACTATTCTAAAAATTGACCAAAGTCAGCGAGAACTTTTGCCACATGTCACTGTAACGGTGTAGTCCTACTTCATTGTAGCAGGTTTGTAGTGTATGTCAGCATTTCATGTCTAGCCTTCCACAGATGGCTTTTATCCAAAAAAATATCATAAATAGCTGTATGCAACATATCTTATTTAATATTGGTCTTCTGGTGTCCCTCTATATGAAACAAGGAGACTTTTAGTAATTTAATCAACGCTTTGTGTAAGAAAGGCCCATTTGGGATTTTACAAATATTATATATTTTGTTTATTTAAAGCAGATTTTGATATTCTATACAGGAATCTGACTGTACATGTGTGTCAGCTGTATACCATTTCACACCATCCATACATTGAGTAGGAGTACAGACTAGCTAAATTTGTAAACGTATCAAAAAGGACATGCGAGGGTTGATTGTTTTTTGCTTCCCTGGAGGAAGTGAGGAGACATAATGTCAACATTCCAGTATTCCCACCTAACTTGGCTCTAACCCACTCACTCAGGAACATGCAGACTCAAGCCTTGTGCCTTTTACACTGCTTTAAAAAAACATCCATCTGGGAACAGTACATTGAATTCCAATCACTTTTGTGGGCTGCATCTGTAGAATATATTGCTATAGCTGACAATCATTCAAAAAAGCCTCCAAAAGTTGTTTTCTGTCTTGACAATCTTTCGTAGGCATCCCAACATCACTCTAAACCAGCTGTAAAGAAAAAAACGGTGCTAACGTCCCCCAACAATTTTTTGTTTACCTGCTCTGTTGTGTTCCTAGCAAGTTGTGTAAACAAAATGCAATTGTTCTATATACAAGCTCCAGGGATAGTTTACTTCGGGCTTGTTCCTGCATGTTCCTCCAACTGAAATCTCGTCTCCAAATGTGCCAGTAAATGTACTGTTGTCATGTGGAGGCCTATAAAAGGGAGAGACAATGTTCATTTCTTTGTAGCCTCTCTCTCTCTCTCTCTCAGCCAGTACAGATGCGGATCCCTCCGTCCCTGTGATATATGTGTGCTTACATAGGTCTATAGCAATATTCCTTGTAGGAATAGCACAGGCAGAGGAACAAAAAAATATCCTGCCCAATCTTGGACTGCTATAAGTACATGTATGTGATGTGACACACAGTTCTCGTTACAAAAAAAAAAGATAAAGACAAAAAACTTCTGTAAGAAGCAACACAAACATTGGTTACTTTGAGAGAAATGTATGAAAAATTATGATGATTTGAGGTCCCCATTGCTAGCGCACCATGTATATATATATATTTGTATGCTCTCTGTTGGTTGGAGCCTTAGGCTGTGAGCAGTGTTATATGGGGAACTAGTGATACCAAGAAAACCAGTACTATCGTGTGCAAGAATGATCAGTGTAATAAATAGTGTGTGTGGATGAATCCAAGCTTTATGTACTTAAAAGAGCTATACAGAATTATGTTATACCGACTGGATGTTTATATGGTGTCATTTTTTAAGTTATAAGGGTCAACAACGATTATTTGTAGCTATGTACTGTGTTTTATAGAAGATTAAATATGGAGATGTAGCAATAAAAAGAGTCTAGAAGTCCTCAGTTGATATTTAGTTCCAAAAATCTCCGGTCGAGTTTTGATGTCTAGATGCAGAAATCATCAATAAACTTGAAACAAAACTTTTCTGGGTAATATTTTTCAAACCTTCAATGGCAAAGCTATTAGTTCATTAAGCAATATTCTTGAGTTTCTGATATATTTTACGCCATATGATAACCTTGCTTGCAATTTTTTTGACAACTGTATAATTTGGATGGAAGTTATTTTTTATTCCTAACGATTGTGAAATACCTGTAAATTCTGTTTAATCAGTTCACATTAAATGTTGCTTTTATGTATTTAAACACGTTGCTATCAACACAAAAGAACATCATCTTTTTCTTTCTTTTAGACAAGTTTATACTTTGTTCCTCAAAGTATGCATTCTAACTTTAATAATATTGATTTGCTTTTCTTATTCAATAAAACAATTTAATTGTTTAATTTTCTCATTTGATAAAACAGTCTAAATTTAATAATATTTTTCATATTTCATTAACTTGCTTTTCTTTCTTATGAGATACTTGCTGGCCAGATAACTATTTGACTAGAGGGATTGTGATAGCAGTGCACAGCAGAATGTCGCAAGACAGATTTGATATATGAAATAGTCAGGTAGGTCTGTCTAATATATATTGGTTGTCTGCTAACACCCTGTGCCTAATCATTACTAACAATGTTTGCCGAAAATGACTGTGAAAGAAATGTAGTCATGGTGCACTTTCAATAACCATTGACAGGTGGCGCTGGTGAGCTGCAAGCCGTTGAAATCTGGCTATCCTGTACCCACGATGACTCGAGCATTTCGTACAAATTCTGACTGTTCACTTTGGAAAGGTCTGTGGAATGAAGGGGTTGCAGAAATAATGCTACTCTTTATCATAAAAGCACATCCCTTTATAGGAGGAGACAAAAGAAATCTGCTTCATTCTTTAAACTTGTGTATTTTGTGTTCAGGCACACTTATGCAGACGCTTCCTTTGTAAATAAGAAATCGTTTGCTTCAACACATGACAAGTCTCCTAAACGCCGTGTGTACTTTCACAGTGAATCACGTGTACTCAGCACAAAAGAGAGAACGCCATCGGCATGCATATATTAGTACAGGCATACATGCATTCACTTGGAGGACAACAGCGAAACTTCTCTGAAGCTTTCCATCAGTCGTGCGTTTTCAGTGACTTCTCAAAGTGAACAGAACTTGCTGTTCCGGAGCTTGAATTTTCATATTCAAACGGCTCATCTTATTGTACGTACCTGCCAACAGCAGTCGAGCATTGCATGCGTTACTGACTTACAACAATAGAAGCCATGAACTTTAATTTGTACTATAGTTACCACAGATACATGCAATACATCACATATCCGTGCATTAGTACATTTTGTTACTCCTTATAGATACTGTATTTTTCTGTTGGATCATTTGTTTGTTGAGTCCTCTATAACGTTAAGTTCCATCTCTTCAATAACTCCAACGTCCCCCTGAACACCCTCATCTCTCTCCTCAAAAACTTTCTCCTCGCTTTCCTCCTCAAGGACATCCTCCTCTGTCGCCTCCTCCTCCTCAAAAACGCCGTCCTCTCTTTCTTCCAAGACATCGTCCTCACTCACGTCTTCCTCTATGTTTTTACCGCCCTGCTTTTCTTCGATACTTCCGCCCTCATCCAGTTTCTTCAGTTTGAATATGATCACTTCGATGACACAAGCCGCCATGCCAAAAGCGGAGATCGTGCCCAGAATCACGAACAGGCCCAGGAGGTTCTCCATCTTCAACACCCCGTCATCCCTATTGCGATCGCTGTCCTTGCAGCGCCCCCTGTCGACTTCCAACCACCTGTTACTCAACTCCTCGAGGACGCCGAATTGTCGCATTTTCTCAATCTCGTTGGCAATCTTTATCCTGTGAGGAGAGCCGATGGGGATGGGAAAGGCAACGTGGTACTTGTAGAAGGGCTGCCCGACCATTTCGACCTCGCACAGCTCGCTGATTTTGCGAAATCGTACTCCGGAGAAGGTGATGAAGCGTAGTTGCCTTTGGCTGCCCGCTTGATGCCTTCCTCGTTAGAATCTACCAGCCAATCAGGATTGGCGCTGATCTTCTCCCACATGTCCCGCAGGGGGAACGAGTCCGCCGTTTCGAACAGCCTCTTGATGGCGTAACTCCTGATGAAGCCGTACTCGAGTTTGTTCTGCCGTGCGAGGTCCGCCATGCTCCTGATGGGGTTGACGGGTTTGACCGTCAGGAAGGCGGCCAGGTTGGCGGTGTAGGAGGCCATGACGACCAGGACGAAGAACCACCAGGCCCCGCTGATGATCCGTCCCGCGAAGGACATGGGCGGGTTCTCTGCGCCCTGTCCCACCGTGGAGGAGAACACGTTCCACAGGCTGTTCCAGGCATTGTAGTAACCACCCTGTGATGGTTCCACCTGAGAAAATAAAATATCTTCATTATCGTGACTTACAAGGCATCGTCAGCTATGCGTAAGATAAAACTAAGTTCTTTGTAATATTCAAGAATTTCCCTTCTTTCCGTACACGTTTGCGTGTAAGAAACCCTGTTAATTATAAATTTCACTCAAGGGAAACCATCTTAACACATTGCATTAACAGAATCCCCTGTCTCTGTTCAAAGACTCAGATCAGGATTTCTACCGGTAGAATCACCGATTTTACCAGATCGGAGCCTTCACGCTGACATATATAGGTCCTTTTCACCAGGTTAGATTCGCTTGGATCCGGCTTGGAACCGGATCGAAGCCGATCCTAGTGGGAAAAGGGGCCATAGATGACCACACTCACCTGTCCCCGTTTGGCCATCCATCTCCACTCGTACGGGTTCAGCTGGCTGACCAGTGTCAGGAAGAGACTGACCACCACCATGGCCAGGGCGAAGAACAGCCACATGAGGGGGGACAGCGGAGTCATGAACGCCAACAGACCGGTCAGCTCCTGGTGTGTCAATCAAATAACAGTTGTCATGACAACGACTGCTACCTGTCATAGTGGTTTTTCTTTGGCGAAAAATCTTCGCTTAATTCTAATGTGAACCAATGGCCGACATAATGACAGAACACTATACTCCTTATTACTTCTTGGTTCGACATTACTTTGCGTTCTTACAAAATTCTAATATCTTTTTATATTGTTTATACCTTTGTTGTTTGTACTGGTAGTTTGATTTTTTTTAATGTACACTAACTCTTCTCCGTGTTATTGCTTTCTGTCATCCGTTTTGCATTTTCATAACTTAATTGTGTTGATGTCTTGCTGTATTGCATTGTATTTTGTGTTCTCGTTTATTGTTTATTTCAGGCTTAAAAGACCATATTTACAAACACATATACACAAACACATCTAAAAAAGAGTGTTTTTCATAAACATTCTGTTCTCTAATATAATATAATCATGAGGCTCATGATGTCACGCGAAAACGCTATGTACATACAGATGTAGATATGAGATGGGGAAGAGCACACACGTGACTGGTTAGGCAAAACCACTGACTGAATGCAGAAAGCAAGACCAGGGACAGGAAGCTATAGAGGGGATGCTACGTAACACAATCTACGACACTCAAGCATGAGCATGGGACTATGTTTAAGGTAAAGTGTACCTTAACGGGTTTGGGAGTAAAGATGGTGTAGCCGAACTCCACCAGTTCCGGACTGAGATCGTAATACTTTCGTCTGATCTCCCGCATAGACTTCATCACCATGCCGAGGTGCACCTGAAATGCACCGCATAACTTCAGACTTTTTATATTTCCACCATCCCTAAGCTGGATTATAGGACGATACAAAAAATAAATTTTCTAGTCACATATTTATACAAAGTAAGTTGAATCCACTTTACTCCACTGAATTCGAAAACACGTGCCATTTGGGAAGTGGAGGTGCCAAATTATGACCCCTTACGAGTGTGTCAAAAGCTGCAGCTGTATGTCAGTCATGTTTGTTTACATTTTGGTAGTTCGTGGTGGCACCACAAACTGGGTGCACCTCGTGTGGGCAGCTTTAGGGCCAACTATAAATGTCAGAAATGTGCACAAACATATTGAAAAGCGGAAGTAAAATTACAATCGCACGAACGGTAGTTTTCATTTAAAATATTTCAATGCAATATTTCTGGTGCAAAAATGTTACATAATGCCGCTTTAAAGCTCACCCCTTTGTCGAACTGCCGTTTGATCTCCGAATCCAGAACTTGTGCACCCTCGTACACCTGCTCGACTTCAATAGTGAAGTTGAGTCTCTCGGACAGAGCCTTCATCAGATACACCAGGAAACCCTCGTACTTGTCTATACCGCTGAAGCTCTCGCTGTCCACTCTTTTCGTCACCCAAGGCGGGTTCTAGAAACACAAGAATTCATTCTGTGTATTTTGTATAGAACTTCTAAAGGATACAGTATTGCAGAAAACCCCTATAGGGTACTCTCCAAGCAGAGGTTCGGGTTTGGGGTTATTTTTGGCGTGTTTTTAGACTTTTTTATCGGGGTTTCCTTTTGCACCGGAATTTTTCTTTCTTGAAAGAAAGTCTAAAAACACGCCAAAAATAACCCAAACCTCTATTTGGAGAGTACCTATGAGGGATCTGAATTGTTGTTACTTGCGCGCTAGTAAAATGCACAGACCGCTAAGATCGCTAACCACGTGTAAAATGTAATAGCTTTCATTGAAATAGTATATTTACTATAGTAGAATTTTAAAAACATAGGTAGTACAAGAACCAGAACCACGTCTATCTAGTTCTAACTAGGGTTAGGGTCAGGCACGGTTCTGGATAGTCTAATATCTCCACGTATCCAAGAACGTAGATTTGCCCAGGTATTGTTCTGGATACACGTGGACTATATCCAGAACGTTTAACAGTATTAACGTCTGCGTATCAAAATTGTATCAAACGTGTAGCACGAAACCTTTCAGTGGGCCGATTCTATATAGCCCCGCCCATCTCTGTCAAAACGTAGAAATGCAAATATTTGACGGACATGTAGCCGCGCTCTCATTGGTCGAACCGCCGATTGCCATGCTACCATTGGTTGAACTGTTAATTTTGTTGTGCAGTCAGGTTCGGTCAGTT